TGCACGGATTACCAAGACCTCAACTGAGCTTGCCCAAAGGACGAGTTCCCGCTGCCTAACATGGATATCTTAATTGATTCGACCTCGGGTCAAGGCTTGTTGTCATTCATGGATGGGTTTAGTGGTTACAATCAGATCAAGATGTCACCCAAAGATGCTGAGAAGATAGCCTTTCGAATACCATATGAGAATTTTTATTATACGGTCATGCCATTCGGCCTCAAAAATGCTGGCGCCACATACCAAAGAGCCATGACAGCGGTGTTTCACGACATGATGGGAAAAGAAGTCGAAGACTATGTGGATGACCTTGTGGTGAAGTCCAAAACCAGAGAAGGCCATCAAGAAGTTTTGAGGAGGGTGCTGGAAAGGTGCCGCCTGTACGAACTGAAGATGAATCCAAAGAAGTGCGCGTTTGGAGTTTCATCCGGCAAATTCTTGGGGTTTCAAGTACACCAGCGTGGCATAGATGTGGATCCTGAAAAAACTAGAGCCATCAACTCCTTTGTGCCCCCTAGAAACCCAAAATAATTGAAAAGTTTTATGGGAAGACTATCGTATATCCGACGCTTCATCCCAGGTCTTGCTGCCACCATGAGTGCTTTTACTCCATTGCTCATGAAAGGCACGCCGTATAAATGGAGTGAGAAGTGCCAAGAAGCTTACAAGAAAGTGCAATAAATAATCACCAAGCTGCCCACTATGAGAGCACCTATTCCGGGGCTTCCTCTCAAGCTTTATTTGGCTACAACAAACACAGCGGTGGGGGCTTTGCTTGCTCAACATGATCATGACGGGGAAGAAAGTCCCAATTATTACGTAAGTAGGCAACTAAGGGGAGCTGAAGTGAGATATCCGAAGACTGAACTCTTGTGCCTTGCTCTTGTCTATGCTGCACAGCTTGCGGCATTACTTCCTTGCTCACAAGCTACATCTCATAGTGAAGTCTGATCCCGTAAGATATTTGCTTACAAGGCCAATGTTATCCGGACGCCTTGCACGTTGGCTGCTACAACTGTCCGAGTTTGATATCACCTGCACCACCCCAAAAGCTATCAGAGGACAGACCGTGATTGACATGCTGGCTCTATTTCCCGAAGTTAAAGAATCAACAATCTCTAAAGAAGTCCTTGGGGAGCTGCCAGAAATGGTTGCTGTAGTCACAGAGGCGGGACCATGGACCCTCTACTTCGATGGGTCTTCTACATCGAAGGGTGGAGGGGCAGGTGTAGTGCTTGTCAATCCCGAAGGGCAAGCCACGGCTCTCTCATTTAAGTTAAATTTCCCATGCACAAATAATACGGCGGAGTACGAAGCTTTTATTACAGGGATTTCTACGACAAGGGAAATGGGTGTCGAAAGAATTAAAATTATTGGGGACTCAAACCTAGTGCTGAGTCAATTACAAGGAAATTTCGCTGTGAAGGAACCAGCATTGGCGCCGTATCGTACAGCTGCTGAAAGGCTTGTTCGTTCTTTCAAACAAGTTGTGTTGGAACATATCCCGGGGGTCACTAATAGATATGCTGATGCATTGGCCACTTTGGGATCGAGGCTTTCATTTGTTAAAGAAAAACCCAATATTGCAGTAATCAAGAAAGACACGCCGGTTGTTGAAGCAATGGCTCAAGAGGAGCAGCTGGAAGAGGATGACTAGAGGAAGCTTGTGAAAGAAAAATAGGCAAAGGAAGCGACATCAAAGAATTGAAGGATTATGCGATCATTTTTGGGGAACTGTACAGACGCCTTCCAGGAGGTATTTTGACCCGCTGCATAGGGACAATAGAAGCGCAGGAGAAGCTCCAAGAGGTACATAAGGTTACTTGCAATTTGGAGCCAATAATTAGCTTGTATCGGCGCCTGCAGCGCAAGGGTTATTACTGGCCAGAAATGAGGAAACAAGCAGCTGAAATGCAAGCCAATTGTCCCAAGTGTGCAAAGATACCCTCCACCGAGGAATCATTCACCATCTCGTTTGCGGAGGATTGGAGGGCTCCATACTTGGCATCCTTCATCAACGGAGCCTTGCCAACCAATCCCAAGCATGCACGCAAGCTCAAAAGGACAATGAAAAGATACTTCATAGATGGGTCAACTCTTTACCGCAAGGGGTTTAATGGTGAGCCATTAAAATGCTTGGGAAATTCAGAAGCACAGCAAGTCATGCAAGAGATTCATGCTGGAGAATGTGGTGAGCACTAAGGAATGAAGAGGCTTTACCAGCAGCTGCTGAATGTTGGGTATTATTGGCCTACAATGAAGAATGATGCATACAACTTTGTGAGGAGGTGTCACACATGCCAAGTTCATGCCAACTTAAGTCACAAGCCTCCCACGCTGCTGCAAGACATGCGCACTCCTTGGCCCTTTCATACTTGGGGGCTTGATTTGATCGGGACTATCCATCCACCATCCGACGGCTACATATGGATCCTCACAGCCACTGAATATTTCACAAAGTGGGTTGAGGCGGTTCCTCTTTGGAAGGCCACGGCGGCTGCCGTTGCCAATTTCATCCGTGAATATATCGTATGTAGATTTGGGATCCCGTATAAGATTGTCACCGACAATGGCACCCCGTTTGTTAATAAGCAAGTAAGCTCGACGCTTAGTGGTTATGGCATCAAGCATCGTCACTCCACGCCCTATTACCCACAAGAAAATGGTCAAGCGGAAGCCACGAACAAGACTTTATTAAGAATCCTAAGCAAAATGGTTTATGAGTATGAAGGAGGTTGGAGTGTTCACCTGCCGGATGCTTTATGGGCCTACCGCACCTCTTCAAGAAGTGCCATAGGTGTCTCGCCCTATTCGCTTACGTATGGGTCCGATGCTATTTCACCAGTAGAGATTACCATCCCCACTGCCAGAATAGCAGCTGTTAACGACCTCGAATGGGATACAAAGTCATGCTCGGAATGGCGCCTGCTGGACCTTGAAGCTTTGGATGAAAAAAGAACGGAAACCGAAAAGAGGACAGCGTTGTACCACAGAACCTTCAAGCAAGGAGACCTCGTGCTAAAAGTCGTGGACATGTGAGAAGACAAGTGTCGGGAACTTCCAAGTTTGCGCCGCAATGGGAAGGCCCGTTTGCAGTCAAAGAAGTTTACAGCAGCAGCTATTATCGCTTGGTCTCTGTCAAAGAAGGCACGCTGACGGACCCCATCAACGGGAAGTGGCTCAAGCTCTACTACTGCTAAGATAACTTTATGCCCCGTACTTTTATATTTTCCTTCTGTCAAAAAAAAATTAACAAACTCCTTTTGTCTTATTTTCATGTTTTGGAAAAAGACACTTTTGTATGATGCACCATTATGGTAGCAAGCGCTTTGCAATGAGAATGAAGGAATGTTTTGAAAAAAAAAATTCTGTCTCTAAAAGTTTTACTGTTACTTACACTTTTCCAAATTTTCTTTATATATAAAAAAAATTAATAAATAAATAAAAACAACAAAACATGCCACTTAGTGGTGAGACACGCTGGGCAGGGTCACTTAGATGGGGTCCCAAAGCATCGCGCTTAAGCAAAAAAAAAAATAGCATGAAGTGTATTGCAAAGAAACATGCAATTTTAAGGTGCTGGAACAACATGATGCGCACAACACCTGGAAGCTTTATAGAGCCCGAACAGAAATCATGCACATATTAGCTTAACCATTTGGGAAAGGTGGGAAGCTGTTTTGTCAAGCTTAGAATCTAGATAAACCATGCAAAAGAAACTTTCGAAATTCTGCTTCTCTAAAAAAAAAAAAAAAAATTCGGCAGCATATGCCCTGTTTTCAACGATATCCAACCTATTAAAAAATTTCGAGTAGTCCACAAAGACAAGTCTTGCCAACAAAGCAGTACATATATATATGTAGGAAACATGCAACATGCCTCAAGCATTCGGAAATTCATACAAACTTCAGTAGTTTAATATCAAATTACAGAGGCATAACGACGTAGTCGTTAGAGTCTAAAAAAAAAAAAAGAAAAATAAAACTACACGTGCTGAAGGTTCATGCGTCCTTAAGTCACAAAGAAAGTAGGGTCATATGCCAAGATAACTAGTTACCAAGCCAAGGATGGACAATCTGCAAAAAAAAAAGGGATGTGTGTCAAAACTAGCTGATGCCGGAAGACGTAACGTGATAAAAAATGATGAATGAGCTGAGTACCTTGAGGCTATGGAGAATGTCCGAAAAGAATGAAGGAAGCCCCAGGAGATAATCTGGCTGCTGCCTCTGTCACGCACTCAGCGCTGTCAACAGAAATACCCTTAGCAAGAAGAAGGGCATGCATCTCCCTGCGCTGGTTCTCCAATTCCCGCTGTTTAATATTCAAGGCATCTGCAGCAGCTTTTACTTCATCAGAATCATGCGATAATTGCATACTATGAATGGCCCGTGCTCCAAAGACGACACGTGCTAAGTTCTTCACAAGTTTGAGAAGAAATTCCACGCGAAAGCCCAGAATCATGGCCTCACATATTGCATCTCGCCAACAGAGTAGTTTGTGGTCCATAATATCAAGGAGTTGCATGGTGTCCATCCCGTGAAGTACTAGGCCAAGGGCTCGGAAGGCAGTGCACCTTGAGAAAGAGGAGGTGACATCTGTAGCTTCCATCAAATCCCCGTATTTGTCTATAAACCTTTTCAAGGCCTCAACCGTCTCTAGATACACAAGGGCACCTTGAAATGTCACATAACCATCAAATCTGTAGCAAAGCGGGAGAAGCTCATCAATGGATCTAAGAATGGTGATACCGCCGTCAAAAAAAGCTTTGAATGCCGTGTAGGAGTTTTCCCAATCTTGCCAAGACATGCCTTTCTCGGATAAATGCCCTCTAGAGGAACCTGCGATAAAAGCATCACCATTCCTATGACAATTGTTGATAATCTCAGTAAAGGGCTGTGCTGCTGGAAGTGGCGGAAAAGCGTCGGCAGCCATGTCAGGTGTACCCAGGATAGGAGGAGTAGAAGGTGGTACTGCTGGAAGAAGTGAAACAGTGCCGGCAACTATGCAGGTGTGTTCAGGATTGGAGAAGTAGGGGGAAGAACCGCTGGAAGTGGCAGAGAGGTACTGGCAGCTATGTCAAGTGTGCTCAGGATTGGAGAAATAGGAGGAGGAACTGCTGGAAGTGGCGGAGAGGCGTCAGCAGCCACGTCAGGAGTGTCCAGGTTATGAGAAGAATGAGGCTGCGCTGCTGGAAGGCTCAGGACAACATCAGCAACAGTAGCGGAAAAGGCAAAACCAGCCTCCGATGAGGCACTTGTTGTGTCCTCAATGGTGGGCACGACCTGCAGGAGAAAAATAAAGTATGAACTATGGGACACAACGGGCAGTATGCAATGTCAATATGCCAAGTAAAACAAGCAAGAGCAACATCTGATACCAATTCAATGTCAACACGCTGCCCATGGTCACTATCCAAAACAGGAGGTGTATCTGAGGCGTCGGACTCCTCTAAGTTAGTGTCAAGGTCCGGATATGTGTCTTCATCATGACTATAGTATTGGTCTTCATCAAGGTCCTCATCCATGCCACTCGTATGGTGAGTGCTCTCTTGCTTGTGGGTGCTAATCTCAGTCTCCGCAGCACCACTTTCATTGCTACCATCATCACTATTATCATCAACCGTTACCACCACTTTGGGTCCCGCGTCTTCGCCTTTGTTCTTGCGGGTATTGGCAAACCGTGTTTCGAGAATGCGCATGCTTCGACGCTTCGAAATCACGGGAACTTCCTTACCCTTGCCTTTATTTTGGGGAGTACCTGTAAAATAAAATAAGAGGAATACTTATATATATATATATATAAAGAGGGGGAAAAAAAAGAGCGCAAACAAATGGCAGGACTTACTGCGAGGAGACAAAGCCCTTGGTGCTACTTGCCTGTTGCTGCCGGAAGCTACAGGCTGCTACTGCGATAAAGGCTCTGGCAAGGCAACTTTTCTTGAGCTAGGAGGACCACTCGCTGCTACCTTGGGGATGAATTTTTTTGGTCCTTTTATCGCTTGCCTTTTCTCGACGCTGCAGCTTTCCTCTCGCTTCCGTTTCCCATGTGCAGCACTTTTCCCGGTGCTATGAGAACCCAATTTCTCTAACTTCCGCTTTAGCTTCGAAAAATCACCAACAATCTCTCCACTTTTGGAAGTAAAAGGCAGATTCCATTTCTCACTCAAGGAAATTGCTTTCTCTTCCGACACTAAGCGGGCATGATGGACTATGGTGGGAAGTAATAGATCGCAATGGGCAGCGTGAAATCGGCTAAATGCAGCAAAGCAACGATTCCAGTAGCTTTGGTAGGCTTTTGAGAGACCGCCAGCACGTCCTCTGTTGGCCAAAGCAAGGGCAAAGGGTCTGCTAATCTCCCGGTACATGGTCCTCAGTCCAAAAGATTCTGTGCAGTGAAGAGGGTTCTCCGTGGATAGGACTGAGAGGCACACCTTGATTGAATCCCAAATTGCCGTCTGACTCGGTAAGGTGAATAATGCATGGAAATTTCAAGGTGGTTGTCGCTCAGTGTAGGCAAAGGAGGACATGCAGCGCTTAGCAACGCTTCCTTTCGTAATTGACGGCCTTGTACTATCATTACTGGGGCCCCAACTAGATCATCGGAGTCAGCATAGAAGGGCATACATTTAAATCCCTCCGGTAGAACACAGTAGGGGCGGAAGATAAATCTTTCAACATCATCCAGCAGCTCTAAAACATTCTGACCCTTCCTTTGCATCCGGCGTGACCATTCTGCAAATCAAAGGGAGACCCTCCAGTACGTATGAGCCCTCATCAAAACCAACAAGTGACTTAGCCTTTAAATAGGGAAGCAGTGATACTTCTATCCCTTGAAGGCGCTCCCATAAAAAGACCCGCAGGAAACTAGAATTCAGAAAAGTCTCCACAGCCATGGTTCCGGCCGCCCCTTTCTCAAGCATTTGAACTTGGTCAAGCAAACAACATAGGTGTCCCAGGAACATGGGGGCTAGAGGGAGTGTGCTGCCATGCGCTATTGCCAAGGCCAAAGGAAATACCCTTTTGTGCAAACAGTCTTGAGAAAAATCACAGAAAATGAATCTTCCAAGCCATAATGATATAAATGCTGCAAGATGACATGACTCATCCCTATTAACATCTCCGAAGAATTGTACCCAGTTGCTAAACCGCAGGGAAGTACTAGGAGAAGTCGGAGCACCCTTCCGTAAAGTCTCAAGCTTTAACTTATCTTCCGAGGTCAACGCAATGTGGAAGGGGTCTTGACTGCCACACAGTGGGAGCCAGAAAATGTTGGCTATATCCTCAAGCATGGGAGAAAACTCTCCCCAGGAGCAGATGAAGGTGTGTGTCTCGGTACTCCATCGTCTAACCATGTGCCGGAGCATCTTGGCTTCAATACGAATGTCACAAGCTTTAGAAATAAAAATAGCATCCAACACCCCTGCCCGGCTCAGAATGTCACAAGTGGAAGGGTCTCCCTCTTTTCAATTTGTCATCTGTGGAGTAGAGATGGTCCCTGAGGATAGATAATAGATTAGTGGAAGCCGTGATAACTCTTGGGAAAATGACAGGAACCTGTGCATAGAAATATGGAAAGAAGCAAAATAGAATTAGCACACGTAAAATGCGTGTCAAGTATGGCTAGTTGAGTTCATCCAAGCAAACATGCAATTTAAAGTTCAAGCTCATGACAAGTAAAAGTCTCACTCTGTGATCAACAAGCAGGATAACCAAGTCCCTTCTAAAATAATAATAATAATAATAAATAAATAAATATTCAACCAGGCAATACAAAACATGCACTCTGTCAGTTATTGTTCTCCACAGGCAACACACGCAGAAATCCATAATTGATCAGGCATGCGTTCTCAAGGAAAGAAAGCCTAGGCCAAGCACCAGTCTACACCTACTCTAAAAATACCCAAAGTTGGTAGAATTATTTACCAAAAGGTTAAGACAGAAGTACCAAAAATCCAAATTAGAAGATTGAGAAATTCGAAGGTTCCAGCAGCAGAAACGTCAAGGGTTTCCAGCACCTACCCTCACCTATGCCGGAGACGTATATATCTGCACATAAATAAATGAAAGAGAAAGCACATCATGCCAAAATTAGCCTTTTTACACACAAAAGAGGAAGCCCGTGCAAAATAAAAATGAAGAAAAGGGGGAGAAACCCAAGCCAACAAGAAAAATTATTACCTTTCCAGCAGCTCGAGCAAAATCAATGAAGGAAGAAACTCAGACAATGGCACGGGCCCTTCCTTGCTAGTACCCACTCCGTGAGCACTCTTGTTGCAGCGGTAACAAGATGGGTAAAAAGGGGGTTTGGTATTTGGCTGCCAAAACAAAAAGCAACACCCATGGGTATGAGAAACCCAACAAATTCTCCAATGAATATAAAGGAAAACTGGAAAAAAGGGGTACCTTGCTAAATCTTCCAAGGGATGGCCTTGAATGCACCAAGAAGAGGAGAAAATCGGGGATTTGAAGGCAAAATCCGCACAAAAGAAAACCCTTCCAGCATTAGCGAATGGATTTTCTTTGAACGAAGGGGGGACGACGAGGTTGAGTCGGACTTGGGGCTTTCTTCCCAGCGGCTGGAGATGGGTGATTTCTACCCGATTGCACTTTCTCACTTGGTCTGACTTCGTGGAAGAGCAAAAGAGAACACAGGAAAGATAGTTGGAGAAAAGTTTTGGGTCTGGAGCGTAAAAAAGAAAGGAAAACGAAGAAGTTTGTGTCTGGTGTGTAAAAAAGAGAAGAAAATTCTAGGAGGTTTGTGTCTGGTGCGAGAAAAGAGAAACAAAGAAGGAAAAATAATAAAAAAAAGAAGAGGAAGGCATTTGGCGTTGGGAAACTGCAAATAACCGCTGGGACCAATCATGGCACGCAGTCATTTTGCACGCGGGAAGAGGAAGAGTTCTCCACAAATACAAATTTGATTTTTTGGGTTGGGTTTAATTATTCGGCCCATTCCAGCACCTGCTCATGGCCCTTATAATTAAGGGGGCTAATGTTGAGACCCAAAAAATACATGGTTGGACCCGAATAAATTATTAGCCTAAAACGACGATCCATTAGGAAGAAGCGTAAAGCAGAGTGCACCGAAACCCACCACATGCAAATTAAAATTCACGTGGCACACTAAATAGATAAATTCGCTCAAGGTTGAGATAAAATATACCGGGTTTACAGGCCCATGCAAAAAATAAGCATCGCAGGACGATAAATTAAAACATGCCAAGCACGAAATCATTATCTCACATCCAACCACGCTACAAGCCTAAATGGGCCCAAGCCACTCAAAAAACAGGGGCTTGCTTGAGTGGGTTGTGGTATGGACGGTAATAAATCAACATGAGACCCATTGATGAGCCGAGAAATGGAAAGTCTCGGGTTGCTTGGGAGCCTCGAGACTCAAGCCCATTTCTTAGGCCCAAACATGTGGGTAAGCACAAGAGAGAAAAGTAGCCCAAAAGCCCAAGCAGAATAACCCAACCAAAAAATAAGCCCAATCAAGAAGCCCAATGTTTCACAAAAGCCCATTTGCTTAGGAAACCACCTTGGCCCTTATAAAATCCCAAAATAGCCCACAAAAGCTTCAGCTCTTTTGAAAAACAGAAAACACGTGAAGGAGGTTGGCAGACTCATCAAGCAAAGTTGCTGGGAGCAAGTTCCAAGCCAGAGACGCCCAAAGAACCAAGGAATGCTGGCCTGCACACTATCAAAAGCACCCCTTGGACCAGCATATATTCTCATTTCCTTTCCTTCATCAGATTTAGCCAAGACAGGGGGAAGGAAAGAAGAAAAAACAATAACCAAGAAAGGAAGCTCCCACTGCGCAGCTGCGGGAAAGGGGGACACTGAGCTCCCAAATCTCCTGAATTCAAGCAAATAAACAGAGGCAATTTTTGCCAAGATAGGGAAGTCAGAGAAGAGGAGGAGAAATGAGGAAAAAGCTTAGCCAAAATAAGTAGAAGCCATTAGGGTTTCTTGAAGAATGGTGATTTCCAGCAGCTATCTATAAATTGAGGCTTCCCCTACCCAACAGAGGCAAGTCGAAATTCAGGGAGCAAGCTTTCTCTCTAAACTTGCAAAAATCTAACTACCTCGTGCACTGTTCACTTTCTTCTCCAATTTGTTTTTCTGGCAGCTGCCAGAAGAACTTTGCCTTTCTTTTTCCTCTTTCTCAGTCAAAATCCCCCACAAAACACCTCATTCCTTACCTTAATACTTTCTTTTCTCATGAACCAAGCCTAATCTCTCTCTTAGTGCTAAACTTATGTTGGTTTTGCTCCCATGCCACATGCCACTCATGCTGAGCTAAAAGACTATCTGAAAGCATGCCAAAATTATCTGTAAGTCACCATTATTCTGATCCTTGAAGATAGCCAGAATATCTCCTAAGATTTTGCTACTCTTTCGAGGTATTTTGGGTCTGAATTTTCGAACCCAGGCAAAAGGGACAGTCTCCTTAGTCCGCCCTTTTACAGCAGCCCAGCCCATTAGCTGTAGGAAGAAAAAGTCCCCCACAATTATACATGTCCTGCAAGTTCGGTCCGAATCGAATGGTCGGATCGGTTCCCATTTAACCTAAACTTTATATCATTGAATCGGAGCATCTGGTGCTACGATTCATGATCTATGAATTCCCGCAAGATCCTAGATATGCTTAGATCAACATATTTGAAATTGGAGTTGATCCAACGGTTTGAACATA